CTGCTGAAATAATACAAGTTATATCAAAAGGCTAATGTAGCTGACACACATCAAACTTCATGTGCTGTCCATGTATGGGATTCCACACCAGAAACTTAGTCACTCTGATGATCCAAAACTGTGCTGGGTTTGGCTGGGGGAGTTACCTTTCTTCCCAGCAGCTGCTGTGGGGCTGAGCTTTGGGTTTGTGCTGAGAACAGAGTGAATAATGCAGAGGTGTTTGTTATTGCTGGGCAGTGTTTACACAGAATCAGGACCTTGTCTGCTCCTCACATCACACTGGTTCAGTTCTGGTTCCAACATTTGGATGAGCAGCATCTCCTCTTCATTAAACCTGCAGACGTGTGCCAGTTCCAGGAGAATCATAGAATTTAGGGGTTGGAATGGACCTTAGAGATCATCTAGTCCCAACCCCTGCCCTGGGCAGGGACACCTCCCACCAGAGCAGGTTGCTCAAGGCTCATCCAACCTGGCTGTGAACACTGCCAGGGTTGGGGCAGCCACAGCCTCCCTGGGCAACCTGGGACAGTGTCTCAACACCAGAACAGGAATAAACTTTTTTCTCACATCAAGCCTAGACTTTCCCTCCTTCAGTTTGAACCCATCACCCCTTGTCCTGTCACTGCAGTTCCTAACACAGAGTCCCTCTCTGGCTCCTTGTAGACCCTTCAGAGATTCAAAAGTTGCTCTGAGGTCTCCACATAACCTTCTTTTCTCCAGGCTGAACAGCCCCAACTCCCTCAGCCTGTCCTCACAGGCAGATGCTCCAGTGCTCTGAGCAACTTCGTGGCCTCCTCTGGACTTGCTCCAACAGTTCCATGTCCTTCTTATGTTGAGGACACCAGAACTGCACTCAGTATTCCAGGTGGCTCTCACCAGAGCAGAGTAGAGGGGAAGAATCACCTCTTCTGACCCACTGCCCACACTCCTTTGGATGCAGCCCAGGATTCGACTGGATTTCTGGGCTGAGCTCACACTGCAGCTCATGGTGAGTTTCTCATCCAAGAATGAAGCAGCAGACAGGGATGACTTCTTTCCAACCACCAGAACATGATATTTATCTTTTGAAGTTCATCTCCTCAAAGATGGTTCCAGTTTAATCAGACTAGATTAGTTTGCCTGTAATAATATCCTAAAATATTCTGCCATCGTTTGGTGTTTGGAAGACACTTGTAGTTCTGTAGACTGGAAGGTAAGACAAGACTAACAGATATTGTAATGGCCTGAATTCCAACTTGACTGAAATGAATTGTGTTTGCCTCAAAATATGCTGATTTGGACACTCTCATTCAAGTGTGATACAGCTTCTCAGGCTCTTTGTATCACCTCATAACATGCTGATCCTGTATGACTTCCCCTTGTGTTCACAGGGCAAGTGACATCATGTCTCCACTTCCTGCTCCAAGGGAGAAAAGCACAGAGAAGCCAAGCACAGGAACAGTGTTTCTGTGAGGGCAAGTAAGGACCCAGATGTTAACACTTCAGTTTTGGAGCTGCTTCTGTTTTGAGTAAGTTTTATTCCTCTGTCTCTTAGGCTCAGAGGATGCAAAGAGCAGTGCAGAGATGTACACACGCAGTGACAGTAAAAGCTAAGGCAGACAGTTTATAGCAGCAGGGAAGGATCTGGAGCCTTCCAAATTGCTCCTTGTGTTCTAGTTTTAGTGTGGCAGCACTGAAGACAACACTTGTGGAATGCAAGACAGGAGAGATGAGGTTTCAGGGTGCTGCCAGGGCAGGGCAGGGCTCACCTCACTTCAGACTGTCATGGTTATTTGCTTACACTGCCCAAATCCTCACTGGGCATCCACAACTGCATTAAACAGAAGTCGAATATTTCTGTTCTATGAACTTCCTTGGAAAGGTTCACAGTTCTTCTCAAGGTCTGAACGGGACAAATCACACCCTAAAAGCAGCAGTTATTTTCCTCCAGGGTCACAGTGTGTGAAGGCAACGAGCGAGACACATTTCAGCCCAATTCAGACATTCTGTCACAAGACATGAATTATATCTTTTTTAGGAACATGAGATTCCCAAGCAAATATTTAATGGCTCCTTTCAACTCTAGATTCCAACCATATAAGGTGGCTTTTTTGGGGGGGGAATGACCATGCAGCTCTTTTCCTGACTTTCTAGGTCGAGTTGACTGAGGGTTGCTACAAACCATCTCAGAAATGGAGAAGAAATCCTTCCTTGTTGAAGGTTTTGGAAGGTTACTGTGCAACTTACTCCAGTGACTCAACTAACAGCTTGGTGTGCCTTTTTCTTGCTTTCAATGCACAGGGAGCCAAAGGCTTAGAGTTCCTTCAAGAACTGATAAGCTGAACTTCCAGGAGGAGGACACCTCTGCAGTGCACATTGCTGGGAGCTCTCCTGCAACTTGAATTTGCAAAGGCTTAGTATGTGAGATGATGAAAAGCACAGACTCACTTGGGGTTGTATGAGCAATCAAACACCTGCAGAAATGTGGGAGAAGTTTGGCATGTCACAGGTTGGAATAGGAGCAAACTTTAAAGACTGATATATATGCCAACAGCATGCAAATAATCCTCCTAAGTGCAAACTAGTGCATAACCAAGCAGGAAAAGAAACTGGGCACTCCCAGTCCTGAATGGCATAATCATGGCAGTTCCTAACATGGTTGTTATTAATCTATGGTTATGATTACATTGATTTGAGTCATGTACCAAAAAAGATTTTAAAATGGATTTGTTACATAAAACTATTGAGGCATCAAATCCTTGACATGACAGAATCAGAAAAACAGAAGTTTTCCTCGAGATCATTTTGAAGTGTTAATTTCATTAACATTTCCTTGGAGAGATTTCTGGTGCTTGGAAGCAATGTCTCACTTCACTGTGCATCTGCAGAACGTGCCCAGAATTCAGGATGAGGATCTCTGCAGGAGTGAATTGTATTCAGTTTTGGTGATATTTATCAACTGAACAACATTATCCTTCAGTTATGAGACTAAGAAACACTTTTTGGGACATGCAAGGATGCACTGACATGTCTTCAGTGAAAGCTTTCAGCTCTTTAATGATCTATTTACATGTTTCCCCTGCACAGGAGTGTTTCAGACACCTGATTATTTCTGTCACACAATTCATCTGAACCCGCTGGAAAATTGTATGTAATGCAGTAATTGCAAGGCTGAATCAAGGGCTGTTCTCTAAGCTCTGAGGCATCAGAGAGCAAAAGCAATCCCTAATATTCTTCTTACCAAGGATACAAGTATATAAAAATAATATTAATGCCAGTGAAAAACCAGATGTCAAATAAAAATGTTTCCAAGGAACACTGTTCTTCCACAACTGTACAAATCAGAACGACAAATACGCTGCCTAATGCACCCTAATGCAGAAAATAACTCTGAGGAGAACTGTTAGATTTAGTTATCAGCAACTGTACAAATCAGAACGACAAATACGCTGCCTAACACAGTTAGAACTATGAAAATAACTCTGAGGAGAACCGTTAGATTTAGTTATCAGAGAAACAACAAATCTCTTTATGGAAACTGAATCAAGAGTTTTTGAACATCTGCTCTCCATAGCAAAAAATCAAATTCCAATAGTATAAACTCCTAAACCATTAAGGTCTGACCCACTTAATCAGAACGACAAATACGCTGCCTAACACAGTTAGAACTATGAAAATAACTCTGAGGAGAACCGTTAGATTTAGTTATCAGAGAAACAACAAATCTCTTTATGGAAACTGAATCAAGAGTTTTTGAACATCTGCTCTCCATAGCAAAAAATCAAATTCCAATAGTATAAACTCCTAAACCATTAAGGTCTGACCCACTTTGGCATTCAGAATTTTCCAGCAACTACAAAATAGCTTCTGGCCAAATGAGAAGCCTCTGCATTTAGCAGGATCTGCAGGGAACTATTTTTCAAAGGAAAATATTTTTATGCCAGAATGGAAAAAAAAAATCCAACAGGAAACCATAGACTTCAGAGGAACCAGAAGCATTATGTACACCGCAGAATCAAATGAAACCTCTCTGTAATAATTGCTGCATCCTTGAAATAAGCTCCAGAATGTTTGTTCCTAAGGATAAATCACAGAATCATAGAATCAA